GTTGAGGCTGCGGTGGACGGGAACAGCCACTGCACTCCAGTCTGGGTGACAGAGTGAGACTCCAACTCAAAAAAAAAAAAGGAGGCTGCTGATGATGGATCTCTCGGAGTTATATTTTGGAAATGAAATGCAGTGGTGTAAACACCTCGGGCCAGTGGCTGGCACCCAGGAAGCACTCAGAGCAACCCAGTCCCTACCTGTCCTCTTCTAGAAGTATGAGGGGGATTGGACGGGGAAGGAGGAGCAGAGCTACTGACCAAGTAAGTGAACTTGGAGTCTTCAGAGTAGGGGGAAGTGCCTTGGCTGGGAGTAAGGGACCACAGGTCCCCGTTTGTCTGGCAAGGGGCCTTGGTGTTGGTTGTGCTAGGCAGTGGAACCAACCCCCCAACCTGGCTTCCCTCCCCCCCAGGAACCCGGTGATGCTGCCCAGGCTGTGAACAGGGGAGGCAGCACTGTGAGGGCTGCCGGCAGCCGGGGCTGGGGAGAGACATGTGGACACGTGGCCTCTATGGCTCCCGCCTGCCAGATCCTCCACTGGGCCCTCGCCCTGGGGCTGGGCCTCATGTTCGAGGTCACATATGCCTTCCGGTCTCAAGGTAGGGCAGCCCAGGGGTGGCGGCAGGGAGGGAGCGTGAAGTTGAAGAGGCCAGTCGGACCCCGACAGAAAGAGGGGTCAATGGACTGGGATGGAGGGTGTGGGAAGACGGCCCTGGAGTCATTTAAGCCAGAGCCTTGCAGCCGGTGGCCTGGATTAATGGGTCAGCGAGACCAGCATCGCCTGCTGCAGCAGCTGGTTAGCCAGGACCCAGGAGTTCGGCAAAACCAGGCCCTACCCCAGGACTCTGTCCCTCACCCACAGATGAGTTCCTGTCCAGTCTGGAGAGCTATGAGATCGCCTTTCCCACCCGCGTGGACCACAACGGGGCACTGCTGGCTTTCTCGCCACCTCCTCCTCGGAGGCAGCGCCGGGGTGCAGGGATCGCAGCCGAGTCCCGCCTCTTCTACAAGGTGGCCGCACCCAGCACCCACTTCCTGCTGAACCTGACCCGAAGCTCCCGTCTACTGGCAGGGCACGTCTCTGTGGAGTACTGGACACGAGAGGGCCTGGCCTGGCAGAGGGCTGCCCAGCCCCACTGCCTCTATGCCGGCCACTTGCAGGGCCAGACCAGCAGCTCTCATGTGGCTATCAGCACCTGTGGAGGCCTGGTGAGCTGAGGGTTCTGGGAGGCAGGGGGAACTGCTCACAAGTGGGACATTTTAAAAGTATTTTGAGAAAATCAGTACTTTGGAGATGCAGCCAAAGCAGTACTTTGAGGAAAATGTATAGCCTTACGTGAGGCTGAAAATTAATGAGTGGAATGTTCATCTCAAGAAAATTAGAGGGCTTGGTGGCTCAACCTGTAATCCCGCGCCTTGGTAGGCTGAGGTGAGTGGATTGCCTGAGCCCGCAGGTTCAAGACCCACCTGGGCAACTTGGCGAGACCTCATCTCTACAATAAATTTTTTTAAAAATCAGCCGGGCGTGGTAGCGCACGCCTGTAGTTCCAGCTACTCAGAAGGCTGAGGCAGAAGGATCGCCGGAGCCCAGCAGGTCAAGGCTGCGGTGGCCGGGAGCGGGCAGCCCGGGGGTGGCGGCAGGGAAGGAGCATGAAGTTGAAGAGAAAAGAAAGAAATTAGAAAAGGAAAAGCAAAATAAACCCACTAAGATAAGAGAAATAGAGAAGAATAAGGTAATAAAAACAGAGAGAGGGTCCCTGGGGTCCTAGGATCCAGAACCTGACCTGAGCTTTCTGTTCCACTCCTCAAAACCCAGCATGGCCTGATTGTGGCAGACGAGGAAGAGTACCTGATTGAACCCCTGCAAGGTGGGCCCAAGGGTCCCCGGGGCCCAAAGGAAAGTGGCCCCCACGTGGTGTACAAGCGTTCCTCTTTGCGTCACCCCCACCTGGACACAGCCTGTGGAGTGAGAGGTACATCTGTCCTTCAGGGATGGGCAGGGGGCTATATAGCATCTTTCCCTCGAGGCTGGGGCAGGCAGCAGTGTCTTTTCATCGAGAAGGTCAACAGGCAGCTGGCTTTACACAAGACAGGACAACAGGGAGGTCTGCAGTCAGACTGTGATCGGCGGTGAGATAATCTCTCACTGCCCTGTTAGCCAGCTCAGCAGTGAGTGAGACAGCCAGACTGATGTTCAGGTGCAAAACTATTTCTTCTCTAGAATTATTGTCTAATCTTTTAAGCAGTGGGGTGGTTATATAAGATCAACAAGCATTTGTACAGTCAAAGGACAGATTGAGCATGGCACCGTGGCTTATGCCTATAATCCCAGCACTTTAGGAGGCAGGAGGATGGCTTGAGTCCAGGAGTTTGAGACCAGCCTGGGCTACATTGTAAGACCTCACCTCTACAAAAAAATTAGCCAGATGTGGTAGTATGTGCCTATCGTCCCAGCTACTCGGGAGGCTGAGGTAGGAGGATCACCTGAGCCCAGGAGGTTGAGGCTGCAGTAATCTGTGACTGCCACTCCACTCTAGCCTGTGCAACAGAGCAAGACCCCAACAGAGCTCAGACCAAGCTATGCAAGCCAGTTCAAACAGCAAGATGGCTGCCCCACACTAGTGGATCTGAGCAGTGGAATTGTCAGGGGACTGGACGGTTGTGCAGGTTGTCATGGGACGATTGTTTAACCAACAGCATCATGCAAGTGTTCAGGTTGATAGCTGGGCATTGGGCAGGAGAGGTGGGCATTCCATCAGCGGGACAGCTAGACAGTTGTACAATCAGACAGTAGGAAAGTCCGGCCGTTATTCAGTCCAGCAGTTTGGCAGTTGGGACAGTGACATCATTGTAGACTCAAATAGACATTGTATTGCCAGGCGCTTGAAAAAAGAAGATGTTTGACAGCCTGCTGGACAGATGGGCCATCAGACAAGTAGTTGGATAATAAAATTAGGCAGTAGACCAGCCACAGTGGCTCCCAGCACCTTGGGAGGCCGAGGTAGGAGGATCGCTTGAGCCTGAGAGTTCAAGACCAGCCTGGGCAACATAGCAAGACCTTATTGGTACAAAAAAAAATTTTTTTAATTAGCTGGGCAGGATGGCACGTACCTATAGTTCCAGCTACTCAGGAGGCTAAGGCAGAAGGATCTCCTGAGCTTAGGAGGTCGAGACTGTGTTGAGCCATGGCTGTGCCACTGCACTCCAGCCTGGGTGATGGTGACCCCAACTCAAAAAAAAAAAAAAGATTGACCAGAAATAGTCCATCCAGACTGTTGGATAGAAGAATAACTGAGTAGTCGGGCTGCACAGGACAGTGGTCAGGCAGCGTGAGCCCACTGGGGGTGGGTCTTAGTCACTCTCCTGGGTCCCCCAGACGAGAAACCGTGGAAAGGGCGGCCGTGGTGGCTGCGCACCCTGAAGCCGCCGCCTGCCAGACCCCAGGGGAATGAGACGGAGCGCGGCCAGCCAGGCCTGAAGCGATCAGTCAGCCGAGAGCGCTACGTGGAAACCCTGGTGGTGGCCGACAAGATGATGGTGGCCTACCACGGGCGTCGTGATGTGGAGCAGTACGTGCTGGCCATCATGAACATTGTAAGTGCCTTCCCCTTCCTGGGCACAGAGCCCTGCCCTTGAGCAAGTTACTTCACCTCTCTGCCTTGGCTTACCTGCCTGTAAAATGTGCATAATTATGGTACCTACTTCGTAAGGCTAAGAGGGATTCAGTGAATTGATGAAGAGTTTAGGTCAGTGCTTGGCACATAGTAGGTGCCATATAAGTGTTTGCTGTGTATAAAAATACACACTAGCCTGGGCAACATAGCGAAATGCCATCTCTCTTTTTTTTTTGAGTTGGAGTTTCACTCTGTTGCCCAGACTGGAGTGCAGTGGCATGCTTCTGACCACCGCAGCCTCGACCTGCTGGACTCTGGCAATCCTTCTGCCTCAGCCTTCTGAGTAGCCGGAACTACAGGAGCACGCTACCACACCCAGCTAATTTTTTTGATTTATTGTAGAGATGAGGTCTCTCCACATTGCCAAGGTGGGTCTCGAACCCGTGAGCTCAGGCAATTCACTCACCTCGGCCTCCCAAAGCACGGGATTACAGGCTGAGCCACTGAGCCCGGCTGCGAGATGCCATCTCTACAAAATACTAAAGCAATTAGCCAGGCATGGTCTTGTGGGTCTTTAGTTCCAGCTACTCGGGAGGCTGAGGAAGGAGGATCATCTGAGCCCAGGAGTCGAGGCTACAGTGAGCTATGATCACACCACTGCACTCCAGCCCGGGTGACAGAGCAAGACCCTGTCTCTTAAATAAATGAATAATAAATACATAGCTTGCAGGTATCTGTTGAGGTTAGCAATACACACACAGGCACACACCTGTATTCATGCAGAGGTCTTGCATAAGCACCTACTTATAAATTCCTACAGGCTGCAGCTGGACACAGTGGCTCACACCTGTAGTCCCAGCACTTTTGGGAGACCAAGGTGGAAGGATTACTTGAGCCCAGGAGTTCGAGACCAGTCTGGGCAACAGCGAAAACTCATCTTTACAAAAAAAAATTAGGCTGGTATGGTGGTATCTGCCTTAGTCCCAGGTACTTGGGAGGCTGAGGAGGGAGGATTGCTTGAGCCCAGGAGTTTAAGGCTGCAGTGAACTATGATCGTGCCACTGCCCTCTAGTCTAGGTGACAGAGTAAGACCCCACCTCATAAATAAACAAAATTCCTAAAGGCTGACCTCCCTAACCCACCCTCAGATATACTCAGTTCCTGTACTAGGTCTCAATCAAGGCTCTTCTTTTTTCCTTCTGTTCTTTTTTTATTTTTTATTTTTGAGTTGGAGTCTCACTCTGTCACCCAGGCTAGAGTGCAGTAGCACGCTCATGGCCACCACAGCCTCAACCTGCTGGGCTCAGACGATCCTTCCGCCTCAGCCTTCCAAGTAGCTGGAACCACAGGCGCACGTGTTACCACACCCAGTTGATTTTTTGATTTATTGTAGAGATGAAGTCTCACCAAGTTGCACAGGCTGGTCCCAAACCCCAGGCTCAGGCAATCCTCTTGCCTCGGCGCCTCCCAAAGTGCTGGGATTACAGGCTGAGCCACTGCGCCAAGCCTCTTGACTTCTCTGTTTCTCAGTTTCCCCCTCTGTAAAGTGGGGTTATATTGGTATCCACCACAGAGGGAAGGGTTTGGTAGGAAGGAAGCCAGGTAGAGCACTTGGCATACAGCAAGGGCTTGATGAATGGGGCTCTTGTTTCATTGAAGAGAAAGGGAAGAACTTAGCAGACAGATGCCCCAAGATGTTGACGTGATGTCACCTCTGATGATACTCTATTCTGCTTCAGTCTAGCCTCCCTCCCTTGAGCTTTTGAGGCCTCCTAAAATCTACCAGAATTCTCGGGGGTTTCCAGATAAGACAATGATATCCAGGGCTCCAAAGTTCCCTGCACAGCCTGGCCACCATCATCTGGGTCCACTCCCCTGTCCCTGAGGACACGTCATTCTTCTCTCTGACCACTGTTTCCAGAGCCTCCTGTCCCCTCAGTCCCTCCTTCCTCTGGTGATGCTCAAACTGGTACCTTCAGCCAGGCACAGTGGCTCACGCCTATAATCCCAGCACTTGGGGAGGCTGAGGCGTGAGGATTGATTGAGGCTGGGAGTTTAAGACCAGCCTGGGCAACATAGTGAGTCCTCATCTTTACAAAAATATAAAAAAATTAGCCAGGCGTGGTGGCATGCGCCTGTAGTCCCATCTATTTGGGTGTCACAGAGGAAGGATCCCTTGAGTCCAGGGAGTCAAACCTGCAGTGAGCTGGGATTGTGCCAGTGCACTCCAACATGGGCAACAAAGTGAAACGCTGTCACAAAAAAAAAAAATGGCACCTTCAGACAGCCAGGGAGTGACACCAGGTCCGTCAGCCACCCCTGAGCAGACACTCAAAGAAGCCAGAGCATGAGCAGGAATGGGAACAGAGAAGTGGAGCTGGGGAAGTCAGGAAAAAATATGGCAGTAAGCCACCCAGTCTGGAGTCCCACTTACGACACCTACCAGCGGTGTGTCTGACCTCCCTGGGCATCAGTCTCATCTGTAAAATGGATGACCATAGTACCTACTCATGCAAAGATAAATGTAACAACTTTAGCCTGGGACCCAGCACACAGTAGGTGCTTAATTAAAGCCAGCTGTTGTCATTGCTTTGCTTGTTGTTTTCTTCCCCGGGCTCCTCTTAAGACTCCGTCTCTCTTGTTTCTTGGAGGTCAGGTTGCCAAACTTTTCCAGGACTCGAGTCTGGGAAACACCGTTAATATCCTCGTCACTCGCCTCATCCTGCTCACAGAGGACCAGGTGCGGGAGCCCCACTGCCTCTCTCCACACCAGCGCGGCCCCCACTGTTCCCAGGGTAGCAGGTGCCCATGCACCTCCTTCTGTCCCTCCTCAGCCCACTCTGGAGATCACCCACCATGCTGGAAAGTCCCTGGACAGCTTCTGTAAGTGGCAGAAATCCATCGTGAACCACAGTGGCCACGGCAACGCCATCCCTGAGAACGGCGTGGCCAACCATGACACAGCAGTGCTCATCACGCGGTGAGGGGTGGGGAGGGTCCCAGGGGGAACCGTCAGAGTCCAAGCAGGGATCGCTTCTGCTGGGACATGGGAGGAGTTGATCAGTCACTCTCGAGGGAGCCGGGGATGGGGAGAGAGTGCTTGAGAACGTACCAGGGATGGTGTTGGGCCATTTGGGTGCTGATGCACTCAATCACTCATTCTCCCATTCATTCCTTCATTCAATCAGTCAGTCTACTGTATTTCCAGCTTGCCCAAGGCCAGCTGATAGGCTCCCACTAGGGGGACATGTGAGGCTTTGGGTGAGAGGCAGGTGACGCCTCCCAGGCAGGGATCAACCCCCAGAGCTGGGCACGATGGCACCAGCAAGGCTTAGGGTGCCCTTACCGCCCATTCTCCTTTTACAGCTATGACATCTGCATCTACAAGAACAAACCCTGCGGAACACTAGGTACCCGAGCCCCGTAGGTTCCGGGCGCCTATGAAGGCAGTGGGCTGGGGTGAGACCTGGTGGGCAGGATGGGGCCGGCCAGCACAACCCTGAGCCCCCAGCCTTGCCCCACATGCCTATCTTCCCAGGCCTGGCCCCCGTGGGTGGGATGTGTGAGCGAGAGAGAAGCTGCAGCATCAACGAGGACATTGGCCTGGCCACGGCATTCACCATTGCCCACGAGATCGGGCACACGTGAGGCTGGGGGGACCCAGGAGGGGGAGGACAGGAGGAGCTGGGCGGGTCCCTCGGCGCCCCGCAGAGGCGACAGCCCTCTCCCCAACACCCCTCTCCCCAACACCCCTCTCCCCAGATTCGGCATGAACCATGATGGCGTGGGAAACAGCTGCGGGGCTCGTGGCCAAGACCCCGCGAAGCTCATGGCTGCTCACATCACCATGAAGACCAACCCATTCGTGTGGTCTTCCTGCAGTCGCGACTACATCACCAGCTTTCTAGAGTGAGGATACCCCCACCTGCCCCACCCAAAGGGTCATGCTTATGTGGGGAGGAGGGGTCTACACGGCAGGGCTGCTCCCCGGGACCCCCCACCTGGCCGGGGCCCCTGAGAGCTTGGCCTGCCAACCCCGTTGTGTGACAGCTGCCTTTCTCTCGGGGCAGCTCGGGCCTGGGGCTTTGCTTGAACAATCGGCCCCCCAGACAGGACTTCGTGTACCCAACGGTGGCACCTGGCCAAGCCTATGACGCTGATGAGCAGTGCCGGTTTCAGCATGGAGTCAAATCGCGTCAGTGTAAATACGGGGTAGAGAGAGCCTTCCTGCTTTCCTTCCTGGGAGGGGAGGGGGCCACAGGGGGGGTCGCGGGAACTCCACCGGGGCACCCACCCGGGCAGTAGGGGGGTGGGAGAGCCGAGAAGGGGGTGAGGGAGCCCTCCTGGGGAGCTGGGAGGACAGAGGTGTATGGACTGTTCAGAATCTCCCACACAACTGGACAGCACTTGGGGACAGGAGTGGGGTCTCTGCATCTCTGGACCTCTGACTCGAGGGCTGGGTCGTCTTCTGTCTGGCTGCAGCAGGACCAAGTGGCAGTTTTTGAACTAAACGGTCCAGACTTGGACATCGTTTCCCCTGGGGATGGGCCATCTTCCCCACTTGGGAAAGAACTGGACAGAACTTTCCAGGGAATCCTCATCTTCACCCCCTACTGACTGGTTCGCAAGCTCTCTGGTCCCAGTTTATGGCTGGGTGGGCTCTGACCCTCCTGACCGCCCCTCATTCTTTAACATGGTAGCGAGCCCCCAAACCCTGTCCATGCACAGCGAAGCAAGCTGGGTGGGGTGGCTAGAGCGCCCCACTCAGCTCCCCCCACTCCAGGAAGCTGAAGACTTGCTGGCTTCCTACTTCAGCCCCCAGGGCTCAGCCTCTCCTCTGCTTACCTCCCTCACTTCCCTAAACACACCTCCCGGCTCCTCGTGGCCTCAGCTCTGGTGGCCCAGGCTCTGTCTCAGTCCCCCACACCCTCACGACTCAAAGGATCAGCATCTCTGTGGCCATGTCCAAGCCAATGCCACATCAGTACAAGGCAGGAAGTACCCAGTTGCCAAAATGTCCTCACTTCATTCTATTGCAAGGTAAAGAGACAAACCCCGGAACGGTTTATATGACACTGACATTCCACTCTTGCCCCAAACTCTAACTTAGTGGGTGACTACAGCGCCCTCTCACGAATCCCTAAAGAATCCTGAGTGACCCCTGAGCATCAGCTGTGTCCTGGGTATCCTAGCAACAAGGATGATGTCTGACATTTACTGAGTGCTCACTATGTGCTAAGCATGTGATATGTATCATCTCAACTAAACTCCCGGCAAAACTATTACACTATCCCTAAGTTACAGAGGAAGGGACTGAGCTGTAGGGAGGGTGAATTGCCTGAGGCTACAATTCAAGAACATGGCGGAGCTGGGGTTTAAACCCAGGTCTCTCTATGACTCCAAATCTTACAGAGATAGAGGAAGGGAGGAGCTGTCCACATGGCAAGCTTGGGCTGGCACTGACTGTATGTCGAATTGAGTCTTTGATTTTTCAAAGGAATGTCTTCCTAAGCAAAAGGGAGAATTATTTACTACATGTAAATTGGTTAATACATGTAAAGCGCTCAGCCTAGTCCCTGGTCCAGGGATAGCTGTGGTTACTGTTACCCCATAACAGAGCATTTATGCAAGACTTCATGTCTAACCCGTCACGTGCCTCACAGCCATTTATGTAGGCAAGGCAGGCATCGGACTGCCCATCTCAAAGTTGAGGAACTGAGGCCCAAAGAGGGGAAATGTGTTGCAAGCCAGTGGCGAGTTGAAGTCTCGTAGATTAGCCTGGGACTCATATGTGCCAGACCACCTTGTGGAGAGGAAGCCAAAAGCAGGGCTGGGATAGTTCTCTTTATTAAGAGGTGTCAGAAGTGGGATTGGGGCTGGACTGATGAGATATTTTTAGAAATGGCCTGGGGGATGCAAGCCAAGTGAAGCCAGAAAACCAGGCTGAGATTTTAGCTGGGAAGTGTCCTCTATAAGGCAGAAGGCAGGGACTCTCTAGAAGAGGTATGAGGACAATTTTTCCATCTTCTCACATGGGTGCGGGTATCAGGGGCTGACCCAAGAAGGGTCCTTTCCAGTGGCCGTTGGTTGATCGATCCCAGATCTTCAAAGCTTGGAAGAATTGGGTTCAAAGAAGGGATTACACCTGATTGTTGTAGAAGAAAGACCTACTTCTCAAAGAGAGAGGTTGCTCGGGATATAGGCCAAGAGAATCTGAGACTTTGCCATACCTGAGTCCAGTGGGGCTTCTCCGGGGATGTTAACCTGGACTTAAAAGAGTCAAAGCCAGTCCCTGGCTCTGGTTCAGCTTCCTGCCGTGGACAGGACCTGCTGCCAGGGCTTGAGCCAGCACAACAGGATTCAGACAGGAAGAAGGTGGGGCTGATTTTTCACTGGGGGGAATAGAAAAACGTCTTACACAGACCTAGCCTGACATTCTCCCCTCCTGAACTCCCCACTCCCCCATAGCTCAAAAAGCGTTGGCAGCTTCTCCGTTTTCTAGGTGGGGGAACAAAGAGAAACACCAGCTGGAAAAAACTAGAGTTGGGGCCCTTGACCCAAGTCACCATCCAGGTCTGATTTCCCAGACCCCCACTCTCCTCTAGGCTGTTTTGCCTATCCCAAAAAAGGAAGCCAGAATCCTTCCCGGTCATTTCTCAGAAGGTCCCAAGTTTCCTTCTAGAAACTCGCAAGCCTGAACTGCAGGATTTATTAGAGCATAGACCCTGCATCAAAGATCTGGGTTAGTCTTCAGGTTGCCTCTTAATAGCTGTGTGACCTCTTGCAAGTGACCTTATTCTCTGGACCCTGATTTTCTCCCAGTAAAACAGGCATAGCAGTGCCTAAAGAGGTTTATGGCATACGTAGGTGTTCCACAAATGCAGCTTATTGGCAGAGGTTAAGCCCCAGGCCATGCCCCGCAAAGGAACCCAAAAAGACCCACTGAGACCCAGGAAAGGAGCGCTGGGGTCCCAGCGCGGGACGCCTGGGTCCTTCTGAGCCGGGCGGGCTGCCCCAGGGAGGAAAGCGGGGGACGAGCCTGAGAGGGCGCCTCGGCCCGCAGGAGGTCTGCAGCGAGCTGTGGTGTCTGAGCAAGAGCAACCGGTGCATCACCAACAGCATCCCGGCGGCCGAGGGCACGCTGTGCCAGACGCACACCATCGACAAGGGGGTGAGCGCCGGGCCCCGCCCCCTGCCCTCGGGCCACGCCCCCCGAGCCACTTCCTCTATGGACCACGCTCACCCCTCTGTTTTCCCTCGGCTCTGGCCACGCCTACTGCCGCAGGCCCCGCCCCTGGCCTGAAGCCACGCCCCGCACGGGTGTCCTGGCTACACGTTCTGATTGGCGACCCAATGCTAGGCCACGCCTGCTCGCTTACCTCCCTCGGTTCTGGCCACGCCCGCCGCCCTCAGGTCCCGCCCCCTGGCCTGAGGCCACACCCCCGACTCGTCTCAACCGTCTCCCGGCACGCTTGTCCTGCGGCAGGCTTCACGCTCCCTGTTGGCGGCATGATGCCACGCCCCCGGCTTGAGCCGTGTCCCCACCTGCAGACCCGCCTCTGCCTATCCCCTTCCGCCGCATCCCAGAGGGGCTGAGACCTCCGGCTGGGACGTGGCGGGGGGAAGCACCGAGCCTGCGAGTGTCGGCGTAGCCAGGCTCACTCTGCCCCGCTTCCCCCCGCCCCGTCCAGTGGTGCTACAAGCGGGTGTGCGTCCCCTTCGGCTCGCGGCCGGAGGGCGTGGACGGAGCCTGGGGCCCGTGGACCCCCTGGGGCGACTGCAGCCGGACGTGCGGCGGCGGCGTGTCCTCTTCCAGCCGTCACTGCGACAGTCCCAGGTCGGCCCTCCGGACCCCCTCCCGGGAGAGCGGCGTGACCCCCGCCCGCATCTCCCGCGCCTCATCTCCGTCCTGTCCCCCCCCCCCCCCTCCCAGGCCAACCATCGGGGGCAAGTACTGTCTGGGCGAGAGGAGGCGGCACCGCTCCTGCAACACCGACGTGAGTCCCTCCATGCTCCTCCCCTCGCTTCGGAAATAAGCGCAAAAGAGCTATCAGAGTGCTTCAATCCGGGGGCTCGCCACCTCCTCGGGACCCTGCAGCGCCACCCCTTTCTCCCCGCCCCGCCCCCTGCCCCTCCCCCGCCCCACGTCCTCTGAGATCGAACTCTTTCCAGCTCTTTCCTTCCTATTCTCAGACCCAGGAGATGAGTCTCACCTTGAAATCAGTGCTTGACCCTCACAACTCCTTACAGTCCATCTGTCCTTTCCCCTAACAACCCAACTTTCCCCCAAAGAGCCCCCTTACCCCCCCCACCAGGTGCGCACCTGTAGTCCCAGCTTCTTGCGAGGCTGAGGCAGGAAGATCCCCTGAGCCCAGGAGACGGAGGCTGCAGCGAGCCGTGATCTGGCCACTGCATTCCAACCTGGGCAACATAGTGAGAGCCCGACTCAGTAAAAGGAAGGAAAGAAATCAAGGTGTCCTCCCCAGCTTGTCCCCAGATCTCTAATAAGGCAGCAGTCCCACCTCAGATGCACACCTCCTGCCCAGCCCAGGCGGCTTTCCAGGTCCAGTCTCACTCAGATCGTCACAGCCTCCTCCCTAGCCTCCCTGCCTCCAGCCTTGCTTCTGCAACCCATTTTCTCTGAGCCCCACTTCTCTGGACTAACACCATGCCTCACCTGGCGTCCCTGTCCCCCGCTTGTGCCCCCAGGACTGTCCCCCTGGCTCCCAGGACTTCAGGGAAATGCAGTGTTCTGAATTTGACAGCATCCCTTTCCGTGGAAAGTTCTACACGTGGAAGACGTATCGAGGAGGTGAGTGGGACCTCAGGAGGCCTTGGCCATGGTGGGCAGCCTGGGCGTGTCTGGTGTCAGGTGGATGGACACAGCATCATGGGATCCTTCCCAGCCCTATCCTCACCCAGGGAGCCAGAGAGTCCAGGATGTGTGGCCCCACAGGGTCTTAACTGGATGGTGGGAGCCTCTCATCCCTCTGCCCAAGCTGCCCATCCGGTTAGGCCTGGGGCCTGGCCTCATCTCCCCCAGGGAGCAAGCAGGGGGTCCCAGGTGACCCGGTGCACGGTCTGACGGAGCCGTGCCCCCCAGGGGGCGTAAAGGCCTGCTCGCTGACGTGCCTGGCGGAAGGCTTCAACTTCTACACAGAGAGGGCAGCGGCCGTGGTGGATGGGACGCCCTGCCGGCCAGACACAGTGGACATTTGTGTCAGCGGCGAGTGCAAGGTGGAGGGGACGCCCTGGGGAGTCGGAGAGGGGCTGGGGGTGCCTCGCCCATCCCCACAGCCACCACCACCGTCCTCTGCATGCAGCACGTGGGCTGTGACCGCGTCCTGGGCTCCGACTTGAGGGAGGACAAGTGCCGAGTGTGCGGGGGTGACGGCAGCGCCTGCGAGACCATCGAAGGCGTCTTCAGCCCCACCTTTCCCGGGGCTGGTGAGAGCCCCCTGCTTGCACCAGGGGGCTGGAAGCGGGGCTGACCCCAGGGGGCCCATGGGGTGTCAGGGACCCTCAAAAAGTCCTGGAGGCACAACCACGTGCAGGTCAGGGTCAGGAAGTGCTCCGGCAACTGGCTTGGGCTCTCTCCCTTTGCCATCCTGGGGGCCTCACATCAGGTCTGGGGAGAATAGGGGATCACTCCCCATTCTCTGTGAGGCAGAGAATCTGGAGGACTCTGTACTTGCAAGAAAAGACTTATTAGCTGGCTGGGTGTAGTGGCTCACACTTATAATCTCAGCATTTTGGGAGGCCAAAGTGGGAGGATCACTTAAGGCCAGGAGTTTGAGCCCAGCCTGGGCAATTTAGCAAGATCCATCTCTTAAAAAAAGAAGCCGGGATGTGGTGGCTCACGCCTACAATACTAGCATTTTGAAAGACTGAGGTGGAAGAATTGTTTGAGTCCAGGAGTTCGAGACCAGCCTGGGCAACATAGCAAGACCCCCATCTCTACAAAAAATTAGCTCGGCCTGGTGGTGCATGCTGGTAGTCCCAGCTACACAGGAGGCTGAGGCAGGAGGATCGCCTGAGCCCATGAGGTCAAGGCTGCCGTGAGCCCTGATTGTGTCACTGCACTTCAGCCTGGGCAACAGAGGGAGCCCTGACTCCAAAAAAACCCAAAAAGCCAATGGCAGATGATGGGCCCATTAGGGATATGGCGTGGGGGCGCAGGAGACATCCGTGCCAGCAACCACATAACCGCTGGTGGGTGGTGGCGCTGTCCCCAAGAGGGGGACTGTTGGGGGCACAGGAACGGTGTTGAGTGGGACACAAGGAAGTTGAGTCACCCGAGGGACATTCAGGGACGCCTAGGAGTTTGAGAAGAGAGAGCTGAGTGGAAGATGGAGATTGTGGGGTGGAGAGGTCCTTGGGCCTGGAGTTCCACAGACCTCCTCCCTGGGGTGGGAGATTGACCAGAATACAAAGCAGAAAGTTGGCAGAGGTGGAGATTATGGAACCCAGCACACAATGACAGTGTGGGAGTCCAGCTAGGTAAGCCAAGACTCTTGGGGGTCCCAGGTGGGTTTGTGAATGCCCACGATCATCCAGGTAGTCATGGTAGAGCCTGCTGCAAACCTAACTCTGCCAGTGAAAACACCTTGCCATCCTGTATGGGTCAAGGTCTCTGGGAGCCCATCCGCTCTGCCTGGGCCTCAGCCCGCTGCTTGTGGGGGGCGGGGGAGTTGGGCCAGACCACGTGAGTGGCCAGAGAGGCAGCAAAGCCCAGTTCAGCCACTTCCTAGCTGTCAAATCCAGGCAAGTTACTTTGTTCTCCGACCCTCAGTTTGTCACCTGTAGAATGGGGGTGATGATATATCTGCTTCACAGGGCTGGAACAGGGATACAGGGGCATGTTCCTTTGTGTACTTAGTATGGGAATGGTTAGCGGTTGTGACCAGGGGCCAGGGATGGGGGAGGCAGGTGGGTGTGGGGGACATGCCGAGTGGGTGACATCTGAACTCTTCTGTCCAGGGTATGAGGATGTCGTCTGGATCCCCAAAGGCTCTGTCCACATTTTCATCCAGGACCTGAACCTCTCTCTCAGTCACCTGGGTGAGCAGTTGGGGGAACTGAGAATTGGAGAGGTCAGCCAGGAGTGGGGGAGTCAGCGTGACTAGAGTTCTGACCCCTGTACTCTCCCCCAGCCCTGAAGGGAGACCAGGAGTCCCTGCTGCTGGAGGGGCTTCCTGGGACCCCTCAGCCCCACCGCCTGCCCCTGGCCGGGACCACCTTTCAGCTGCGACAAGGACCAGACCAGGCCCAGAGCCTAGAAGCCCTGGGACCCATTAACGCATCTCTCATCGTCATGGTAACAGCATCTCTTGTCGTCATGATAACAGCGGGGCTGGGGGAGAGATGCTGGGGCCATTTGGGATTGGAGACTCCGTGTGGCTTCTCCATTCCCCTCCCGCCACCATCCCAGGTGCTGGCCCGGACCGAGCTGCCCGCCCTCCGCTACCGATTCAATGCACCCATCGCACGCGACGCGCTGCCCCCCTACTCCTGGCACTACGCACCCTGGACCAAGTGCTCGGCCCAGTGTGCAGGCGGTGAGGCCGGGGTGGGAGCGGGCACTGCCCCCTCCCAGCTGAGGTTCTCAGGGCCAGGCAGGGCTGAACGGGCCCCTCCCCCTCCCCCAGGTAGCCAGGTGCAGGCGGTGGAGTGTCGCAATCAGCTGGACAGCTCGGCGGTGGCCCCCCACTACTGCAGCGCCCACAGCAAGCTGCCCAAGAGGCAGCGTGCCTGCAACAC